CCCCAAAACCCCAAAACCCCAAAACCCCATTTTAGGTTCCTCATGTTGAATTTATAGTAGAATGGAGAAATGGAGGAAGAGCAAGGGGGCTAGGAGGGAAGGAAACAAGGGTGCTGAGGGCTGGAGACTGAGCATAGGGTGTTAGAGATGTAGCTGAGGAGAGGGGTTGACCGTTTTGTGAGGGAAATTAGAAAATTTATCATTTTTTGGGTTGAAAGTTGGGTATGGCTATTAATAGAAATGATCAGAAATAAGCTTAGCGTTTCTTATAATTATAAAACTCCTTGAAAGCTGAACTTAGTGAAGATTTTATGAAAGAGTATACCTAAGTTTTCTTAAGATCGGGAAGGCTTACACTTTTAATAATATTTCCAAAGAAATTCATTCATTTAACAATATTTCAAATTTAATAACAATATTTATCGAGCTCTATTCCAGTCAATTTCTTTTCCTTTTTGCTCTTACAGATGATTTCACAAGCCTTGATAATAGCTTCAATACTTTTGCCTGGAAAGCTGTCAAGTATCTTCTCATAATCAAGGTTTTTATACTTAGATCTTCTGGCAAGCCTTGCTATTACCTTTGCTTCTCTCACAGAGAAGGTATTTTTCATTAAGCTATCAATCCTTCTGAGAAGCTTTCTTTGGGTGTCTTTCCAACCCATTTCTATGCAAACTTGCTTAAGCATTTTATTCTTGAACTTAGGATAATTCTTCATGGGAAGAAGCTCTTGTAGGTCCAGCTTCCCTTGATTCTCGAGTTCTCGGAGTTTAATGAAGAGTAGTTTATCTTTGCTTCTACTCCATCTTGAAAGTTTTGGTTTACTTCTAGAACTTTGGTGATTTTTTCCATGCTGCTGGCTTTGTTCATCTTCTAAAATTTCAGGTGTTCTAAGGCTTCCATCATTATGTTGGCTTTCATGTATCGAATTGAGTTCTTCATGAATAGAAGATAGTAAAGCAATACTTAGGGGATGAGCATCATTAGTCTTAGATAAGTTTAGTTCAGGTGATATTTCATACTTTTGAGTTTCTTCCATTTCATTTCCTATTAGCTCTTCACTTTCTATATTTCTGGAATAAGATTCTTGATCTTGGTCCTCGCATTGCAACTGTTCTTCCCACCAATTGAACTCTATGGCAAAGGTCAGTATCATGATTATTTATTAGTCTTAAGAAAATACAAGCTTGGTTTAATAAATTCAGATAATGTCTCTTCTAATATTTTTCTTTAAATTCTTAATATATACTTTAAGCTAACGTCCGCATAATAATATCATTAGTGAGAACTTGTTTATCGAATTACAGCTAAATCTCAAAGAGTCTAATGGAAGTACTCTCTAGAAGTGTAATAGAAGGCATTGCCAATTATTAAAGCCTTCTTCACTTTCCTCAACATCAGAATGAATTTATATCAAAATTTTTAAGCAAAAAGCCCAATGTTCTGAAAGAGTCTCTATTTTAATTAACAATAAGTGCAATTATGACTTACTCTTCTCTCCAAATAATGGGTGAGGCATGTAGAAATCTATTTCATGTCGGTCTTCGAGAGATCTTTGCTCCATTTTAATTATTATGTATACATATTCTCTTTATTTATACCTTCTTGCCAGCCAAGAGAAACTAAGATCCTCTAATAATAGTATCAAATGAAGATATATGAAAAGACAATTTAAGAAGTGTGCAAAAGATTTTAAGAGCTATCAAGCAATTTAGAGATTTTAAAGCCTATTTTCAAGTAATTTATCGACCAATAACACTTTCTTTAGCATACCTTGTCTTGTAAGGGTAAGAGAAAGCTTTATAGATAATGGATTCATTGAAGACTGTACACTCAGCTCGTGTAAACTTCATCAATAATTCTTCTGTAAACCTTTTAATTGCTTTATGAATAAGACATAATCTTCTCTGATAGAAGTTTTAATGTGGATACGATATTTACAACGAACAGAAAGAATTTTTGGTACCCTTAATTCATTCAGGTTCTTCAAGTTAAACCAAAGTATATGAAGCCGGATTGGGCACTGATTATAGATCTAATATCTAAATATTACCATAACTCAAGTATTTCCTCTTTTCAGATGAGTTAGATTATTATAGATCTTCAAAATAACAAAATGGCTTCTAAATTAAGATACTTAATGAGTACTCTCGATCTAAGATATTTCAAGTTAAGGGTTATTTTCTATTGTAGGGGCTAAGTACTTGCTATCTAGTTTACTTCAATTGATAAAATAATGTATGAAGTTTAGCTCTTTACGAATTGGTAGATTAAGTAAAAATTTCACCCTAAAATTAGCATTTAGCAAGAAATTAATGTCAACTTCGGTTATAATAAGAAGTAAAATGGATAGATGTCAACCTAAAATAACATACAACTAAGCAATATTATAATGGATAAGAATATCCAAAACACAATAAAATAGTATCGAAAACCTTCCCAGGAGTCCTTAAAATTTCATAACCAACATAACAATACCCTTCATTACAAGCCTAAAATCCAAAAAGTCCATAAAACCCACCCAAAACCTCATCCATCCCCATAAAAAAAATCCTAAAAACCCTCCTCCCTCGCACAACACCCAAAACTACCCCTCCCTACTCCCCCACACCCCTCAACCTGCAACCCTTCCCAAAAATCCCCCCAAAATTCAACACCTCCTCCACACAGCGGGGTTTTGGGGTTTTGGGGTTTTGGGG